TTAAAATGGGTAAAAAGATTTGAAAAGATATTTCCCTAAAGAATATATACAAATGACTAACAAGTTTGTGAAAATATGTTCAATATCATTAGTCATTAGAGAAGTGCAAATAAAGCCACAATGTGATGCCACTACACAGCCACCACATTGGCTATAATAGAAAAGACAGGCAATGTCAAGTGTGGGTGAAGATGTGGAGAAACTGGAGCCCTGTAAATTGCTGGTGTAAATGTAATAATAAATGGTCACTTTGGAAAACACTTTGGTGGTTTCTTAAAACATTAAACATAAACTTGCCATATGATCTAGCAATGGCACCTGTAGGGTTCTACCCAAGAGAAATGAAAGCATATGTCCACGCAAAGACATACACACAGCTATTCATAACTGCTTTATTCATAATATCCAGATGCTGGAAACAGCCTAAATATACCCATCAACTGGTGAATGGATAAACAAAATTTAGTATATTTCAATTAAATACTATTTGATAATAAAAAGGAAAAAACTACTGGTATATGCTACAACATGGATGAAATTCAAAAACATTAAGCTAAGTGAAGGAATTCATATGTAAAAAATTACATATTGTATGATTCCATTTGTTTGAAATATCCCAAAAAGGTAAATTTATAGAGACAGAAAGTAGATTCGTAGCTACTTAGGGCTGAACGTGGGAGTAGGGATTAACTATAAATGGGCAAAAGGGAGCTTTTTGGGGTGACAGAAATGTTCTAAAATTGTATTGTAGTGATGGTGGCACAGCTTTATAAATCAACTAAAATTATTGAATTGTACACTTATGATCAGTCAATTTTATGGTGAATAAATTATGCCTCAATAAAGTTACTTGATTTCTTTTTAGAGCATATGTCACCATAAGGCCCCAAGGACCAGCATTTCAGATGTGGAGGGAGATTACGGCTAGGTGGTCACAGGCTGTGTAGGACCAGCCCGTAGCGTTTCTCAGGATTTGCTTGCTGTGATCTAGTGTCTGGCCTTTCATCATTAGCACGCAGTGCTGGCGTTTGGCCTCGCTTCTTGCCCCTTTCAGTTGTCCCTATTTTGAGCTGGTGCTGACCAAGGTTGGAAGTACAGGAGAGGACATCACCCCAGCCTGCTGGGCATTAGAGTTTGGTCTCCCCCAGCCCTGGGATTCTTATCAGAGGTCAGGGATGACCACAGAGTCCTGCTGAAATGCTGTCCCCTCTACCAGCTGGTGCTGACAGCGAGACTGGTCGGGTGCCCAAGTTGATCTCTCCCAGTGGGCATGTCTTCTGATGGGGCCAACCCACAGATCTGCCTCTGAAAAGCCTGCATTTACTTCACTACACCCCAGAACCCTGCAGGGGCCAGGCCTGCTCCCACAAACCTGGCAGTTGGCTCTCTACCAACTTGCATTCATCTTCCTGATTAGACCCTCATGCCAATTTGACTAGGTACAGCCCAATTCCCTCTCATGGTGCCTTGCTAAAGAACAGATCAATACTTGCCTTTAAACTAGCTTTGGTTTGTGTGCTCTGTCTCTGTAGTTCAGGCTCTTCCTCCCATTCCTTTCCTGCCATGGGCTCCCAGATACCGGCTCCATCATCTCTGCTATGGCTGGGGGAGGCTAGGCTCTTGGAGTCTCAAACTATGATCAGGACAAACATCCTTCTCTGTTCTCTGACCACTTCCTCCTAAGGGCAAATGGGCAGACAGCACAAGACCAGGGCAAGGTGCCAGGAATGGAAACCCATAGGCAGGGGAGGGACCCTCAGGAAGAGGCCACATGCGGGCACTGAGCCTGTGGTCACTGAGAGAGGGACCTTGCCAAGTGACTGAGGGAGAACCTGAAGACCTTAGGGAATTCCATGGCTTGTTGAGACAAATTCAAGCAAAGGAAAACAAGCCTCATCTTGAATTTGTGTCATCCCTGAAGTCAGAAGTTGACATCTCCTGGGAGGGTGGCCCTGACCTTCAGGTTGGGAGACTGTTTTTTCCCACAACAAACTCTTTCCTGGAGCAGAGAGTGGGGCCCAAGAAGACATCTCAGGGTTCTGCCCTCCCCAGGGAAAACAGCTTTGAGAGCAGCTCAAGTAGTATATCAAATTTCTCTAAAAGTCCCATGAAATAAGACTTAAAATGAAATGCCACCAATTGCATAGAGATCTAATGTGTTCCCACACCATGACATAACTCTTTAGTGGGTTCAGATGCTTTTCTCCCTGTAGGTCAAGTTCAAGAAAGTTGTTGAGAGGATGAACAGGGGCACAGAAAAGGCAATTCCCAGTTAGTGCATTTCCTAACCTTTTGCTTCCCCTGTTCTTATGGGTTTGAGACAACAAAGTATTTGCAAATGGGAGAAATTAAATTGAACATTATGTTACCTGTGCTAACAGCAATTGCAGTTGAAGTAATCCAAGCTTTCTTCATGTTTTCTATAGCATACACTTTTTCAAAGATAAACAGGTCAGGGGCACAGGCTATTTATATGTTGGATAAATTACAGGCACAGAATTACTGTGGTTTGTGAGCTTAGTTTACAGCACATTTCAGTCTTTTCTGAACCATCAGAGATTTTTAAACATACCCTGACAAAAACGCTGCGCTTCCCTCCTCTCACAACCACATCAAAATTACAACTAATTTTACAACAGAGCAAACATTGAGAATTGCCTGAAGTCAGTTGAACAGAAGTCCTACAACTAAGTACATATAGAGGAAACCACCTCAATACTACTAGGAAAGGTAGAGATGCGGAACAAGTAGATCCCATACCCGCATGTGGTTGTTAAAAATCAGAAGGGATATCCTGACTGCAGAGGTTTCTCTGGCGGAGCGAGGGGTCCCAGCCCCACACCTGGCTCTCCAGCCAAGGGTTCCAGTGCCAGGAAGAGAAGTCCTCATAACTTCTGGCTGTGAAACCCAATGGAGATTGTGGCTTAGTAAGAGGGAGGGCTGGTGGAGTCTCAGCTGTTCCTCTTAAAGGGCCTGTACATGGATTTACTTGCTGGCAGACTCACTTTCTCTGAGTTCCAAAACTGGGGCAGCAGCTCAAAAGGTGCCAAGGAAATACAGGAAGGAACTGAATTGTCTGGCTTCACAAGAGCAGGAGGAGCAGCTTCCTCTTGGACAAAAGTACTGGCAGAAACCATTATTTCTTTGTTGAGCCCTCCCTGCTCCCAATGTGCAGATACAGGCAGCCCCCATAGTCGCCATCAACCTGGCTGACATGATTTGCCTGCCCTGGTGATTTCCTGAGACACTGCCCCACCCAACTTGTGGACCCAACCAGCCACTTCTGGTGGCTTTTCCATATTAATAACCCTTGGTTCATGCTGTGGACTTTCCTACAAATCTCTCAAAGGTTCACAAACAAGCAGCATCTGGCCTTGGTGTTCTCATACCTCTTTCTGAGCAGCCCCAAACCCGGCACTAGTGGCAGGTGGCCTCGGTTCATGGCTTGGCCTCTTCCAGGCACCTCCAAGCCCAGTACATGTGGCTACCATCTGTGGATTGCTTTGTGGCTAATGCCTGGTGGCCCCAGGCAGGGCACAGGCTGTGGCTGAACTTGGCCTGTGCAGGGGCCCCTCCCAGGAGGTCCTGGGGCTGGCACCACCCAGCTGCCTCTGCAGGCCACACACCCAGAGGGCAGACTGGGCAGGTACCAGAGCCCTGCTAAAGCAAATCCTGCTCCATAGGGTCAGCCTCTGCACAACAGCTCTTCCACTGTAGTCACAGCCAGCCCTCACAACCAATCAGCCCAAAGGTCAGTCGCTCCCACTGATGTGCAAACATCAACCAAGGCTCAACTACTTTAGGAAGGCGCACACAATCCACACAAGGACACACCTAGAGCACCTGGCTCAGGTGACCAGAGAGACTGCGCCACTGGGTTCCACAGGACACCTACTACATATGGACACTCTACTAACCAGCAGACATAGCAGTTCTACCTAATGCATAGAAACAAACATAGGGAGGCAGCCAAAATGGGGAGACAAAGAAACATGTCTCAAGTGAAAGAACAGAACAAAGCACCAGAAAAAGAATTAAACAAAATGGAAACAAGCAATCTACCAGACACAGAGTTACAAACACTGGTTATAACGATAATCAATGATCTCAGGGAGAACTTCAACAAGGAGATAGATAACATAACAATGGAGATGGAAAACAGAAAAAGAACTAGTTATAAAATAAAGAGTACAATAACTGAAATAAAGATTAGAGGCAATCAACTGTAGGATAAATGAAGCAGAGGATCGAATAAGCAATTTAGAAGTTAAAGTAGCAGAAAACACCCAATCAGAACAGCAAAGGAGATAATGAATCAAAAACATAATGAAGATAGTTCAAGGGGCCTCTGGGACAACATCAAGCATACCAACATTTGCATCATTGGGGTACCAGGAGAAGAGAGAAAGCAAGGAATTGAAAACCTATTTGAAGACATAATGACAGAAAACTTCCCTAACCTGGCAAAGGAAATAGACATAGAAGCCCAGGAAGTGCAGAGAATTTCAAACAAGATGAACCCAAAGAGGCCTAAATCAAGACACATCATAATTAAAATGCCAAAGGTTAAAGACAAAGGAGCAAGAGAAATGCACTTATTTACCTACAAGGGAGCTCCCATAAGACTATCAGCTGATTTCTGAACAGAAACTTTTCAGGGCAGAGGGATTGGTATGAAATATTCAAAATAATAAAAAACAAGTTCCTACAACCAAGATTACCCAGCAAAGCTATCATTTAGAATCAAAGGACAAATAAAGAGCTTCCCAGAAAAGAAAAAGCTAATTAGGAGTTCATCACCACCAAATGTATTACAAAAAATCTTAAGGGGCCTTCTTTAAGATGAAAAAAAAAGGGGATAAAAAATAGGGATAATAAAATGGCAATAACTATATATCTATCAACAATTACTTTAAATATACAGTAAAACCTTGGATTGCAAGGAACGTGGTTTGTGAGTGTTCCGCAAGACGAGCAAACATTTCTATTATACATTTTAACGTGGTAAATGAGCGATGTCTTGCAATATGAGTAGTTTGTTTCCAGAACGAATTATGCTCGCAAACCAAAGTATTACTGTATATGGGTTAAATGCTCAAATTAAAAGGTAGGGTTGCTGAATAATAAGAAAACAAAACTCTTACATATGCTGCCTACAAGAGATTTACTTCATATTGAAAGACCCACACAGACTGAAAGTAAAGGGATGGAAAAAGATATTTCATGAAAAAAAAAAAAGCTGGGGTAGCAATACTCATACCAGACAAAATAGACTTTATTATTATTTTTTTAAGTTAATTTATTTTTTTGATGAGTCAATAGACTTTAAAACAAAGGCTATAACAAGAGACACAGAAGGACCCAGTAATCCCACTTCAGGGTATTTATCTGAAGAAACCCAAATCACTAATTTGAGGAGATGTGTGTGCATCCATGTATTTATTGCAACATTATTTACAATGGCCAAGATATGGAGGCAACCTGGGTGTGCATCAATCGATGAATGGATAAAGAAGAGGTGGTACATGTATACAATGGAATATTACATAGCCATAAAAAAGAATGAAATCTTGCCATCTGCAGCAACACGGATGAACCTACAGGGTACTGTGCTGACTGGAGTAAGTCAGACAGAGAAAGACAAATGCCATATGATTTTAGTTATAGCTGGAATCTAAAGAACAAAATAAACAAACAAACTCATACACATAGATACAGAGAACATTTTGATGGTTGCCAGCTGGAAGGGGTGTTGCAGGGTAGTTGAGAAAGGGGAAGGGATTGAGAAGTACAAATTGGTTGTTACAAAATAGTCATGAGAATGTAGGGTGTAGGATACGGAAAATAGTCAATAATATAATAACTATGTATGGTGTCAGATGGGTACTAGATTTATAAGGCTGATGACCTTGTAAGTTCCATAAATTTCTAATCACTATGTTGTACACCTGAAACTAATATAATATTGAATGCTAACTTTAATTGAAAAATAAAACAATTATTAAAAAATAAGTACCCCGACAATTGTAGTATCGGATTTAATACGTGACTTGTTCAGGATCTTAGAGTGAAGGTTGAGATTTGATTTTAAAGAGAATCTAAAGATATGTGCTCTGAACTTAGATATGTAACTACTTGCTTCTTTATAATGATATTGAATAGTGGCGTTACAAAATATTTATTTCTTCTGTGAAAGGCAGTCTGCTGTGGTGGTTAAGGGCTCTGGGGCCAGGTCGCCTCAGTTTGAATCCAGACTCTGCCACTGATTACTGTGTGCCTTTCAGTCATTTTTCAACCCCTCTGATAAAGTGGGACTATAGCTCTAGCACATAGTGTTGTTAGGAGGATTAAATGAGTTAGTCTGTATAAAGTACTTCCAGCAGTACCTGGTTAATGGTGAACTCCTTGCAAGTGGTTCTATTATTATTCATTCATTACTTATGGATGAGTCTACTATATAGGACAACTCATAAGGCCCGTAGAGTAAGGATGAAATGACACACAGCCCATGCCCTTCAGGTATTTGTCGAATGGGAGACCCAAAGAAGCAAAACCAGGGCAGCGCCCCTAGGATGCCCACAGAGCTGTCATGGGCACCCAGACACTGCTGTGGGTGGTAAGGAAGGCTTCCTGGAGGTGAAATGTGAGCCAGATCATGATGGATGAGTGTTCCAGGAGAAGAGGGCTGGGGGAGGACAGGCACAGAAGTGGGGAAGAGAAGCCCAGTGGGTAAAAGGCCTGGGAGCTGGAGGAATTTGGTTGTTAGGAGTGAGGAGCCCTGGAGATTCAGGGCCGAGCAGCAGGGAGAAGAGGCTGGAGAGGGCAGCAGGGCCAGATGCCAAGGGATGGAGTCATATTAATAGCGATAGCCAAGCCACACCTTTATTAAATGGCACGTTCTGGGCTGTGCTGAGCACTGATGTACAGCATCTTTTTCACTCCTCACAGTGACCCCGTGAGCAGGTGCTGCTGCCACTGTCCCATTCTACAGATGAAAGTGGGTGATGGTGAGGTCGGGAAGGGAGAGGTAGGCAGCGAGGGATGGCAGCCCAGCCCACCTGGCTCCAGGGCTGGCACGCTGCCCCAGGCATGCTGGAAACTTGGGTTTCACTGTGAGTGCTTCACACAATGAACAAGGAGTCGATGCTACAGAAAAGTCAGGGCAATGAAGGACAAGTGGCAAGGGCACAGCTGTGGATGTGGGCATGGCTGCAGCTGCACTGCATCCCTGGCTTTGAAAAGTCCAATGGGCTCTGGTCATAGACATAGACATTGATTTGCTGACACCCTGACCATGTCGGTGGTTGTTGTTTGGTTGGTTTGTAGTACATGTGTACGCTGAATGCCTTTCCCTCTATCCACATTCACCTAAGCAAACCAGGTGGTGAGGGCAGGGACAGCAGATGCAGGCATGTCTCTTCCAGCCTTCCTCCTGCATCCCTGACCTCATTGCTGTACCACCTTGTCCCCACCCAACCCCAGCACTCTGGTTCAGCACTCTTCTTTCTTCCACAGACCCCAGGAGGGACAGGCATGGGGTGTGGGTCTGTGAGATAGGTCTGATTGTTATTCCTGGCATGGGGTAGAGAACAGTCCACCTGGATTGGGTGTCAGTTCCCGCTGTGACACCAGGCAGCGTGGTGACCTTGGGCCAGTCACTCTGCTTCTCTGAGAATGAATGTCTCACCCTCCACAAAGCAGGC